TGTGCCTTCCGCAGGTCTTAGGTCTTGCTGACAGGGGCGGACCACCAGGCGGGCCCCATTACGGCACAGGGGGAGATCTGGGGTCACTCATGCCTCCCCGACACGCGCATAACCCTCAGCTACTCTAACACTCAGACCCCCATTCTGTGTTAGTTCAGCATATACCCAAGAACTATCTTCTGTTTCTGGTGATTACGCTTTTAAACCGAGAATTACAATCTGACTTCAGCCAGATCCCTAAGAGATCGCAGTAAGTCTCCCCCTCTGACCTGTGATCTACTGCTCTGAATCACTAAGGCATTGCTTCATGTCACATGGGCAGGAAATGACATCACGGCAAGGGCTGTGTCACATGACTCTTCCCACATCAGCCTGCCTGAGGAGCTTTTGCTCATGGTGACAACATTCCTGTATCCTGTTGGAGCCCCCAAGGTCAGTGGACCTGCTGGGCATGCTTGTTTAGATTCCCACCTCTGCCCTCTTTGTTTGGTCTTCTGTCGGGTTGCCGTACATCCAGGTTTTCCTGGACACGTCCTCCTTTTGGGCCCCCGTCTGGGTGGTTTGTCTCGGTTTCGCGCTGCAACCTGTATGACCCAATGTTGCAAGTTACAGTGGAGAACCAAGTGAAGAAAAAGGCACCAATTTTCAATATACGGCAGCCATTCAGTATCATCACACAACGTTTGCAAGGCTCATGCACACGTTTAAAAATTAAACAATATGCACTTCCCTACGTCTCACGCTGCTCAACTTCTGGAAACCATTGGCTCTGGCACTATTTTTGTTTTTCATGTGAACAGTGAATTGCGTTGTTTGCTTGAAGTTCAACAAACTTTAGCTTAGCATTTTGGAACTTTTGTTGAAAAAGACTTGTATACAAGTATATCAGTTGTACATGTGTAAGCTGCATGTAGATAAAACGAGAGTTAACTGTAAGGTAACTGTACGTCCGGGTTTCCCCAGACGAGAATTTTTGTTTTACATAGTGGTTAGGGAAAACTCATTAATATTTGTAAGAACAGCGTTACATGATTGGCCGATGACTGTGAATACTCATTAATACTCTGATTCCCGAACATGCCCTGGGTTCCGATGTCCTGTTCACTCCTGTTCTGAACCTTGCAGCTCTCAACCTGTTCTCTGGTCGAAAAGAAAATCAGTGAAAAAACAGGTAAATTAAAGTTTGGGCATAATGATTATTAAGGAACAGAAGTGCCAAAATGAAAGCTGTTACATATAGTACATACTGGTTTCCTCAAGACTGCCAGCCCATGGATCCAAATGTTTGTGCACTGGGGTTTAAACCTGCAAACAGTCTATAACCAGTCGTGGTGCCTTTAATGCCTGAGCTACTTAAACGGTCAGAAGATGCTCCCGCTGTTCCTGGTCAGTTTCTGGTCCAACACGGTCATTGTACTGGCCTTAAAATGGAACAGAAGTGGGATTTTTAGCTCTAATTGTGCATTCCCAGAATGCACAGTGTTGGTTTTGTATTTTGAAGAAAATGCATAGGTATAAATAGTACAGATCATTAACTGCTAATTGAATCACTTAAGTTGTGGGAATGGACTGGAACAAGCACCAGCTTGAGCGCTCACCCTTTTCTTCAGCCGCCGTATGGAGTTGATCATCTGGTGATCTTGGTGGGTGGGGTCACAGGTGTTGGCCATCGTGACCTCTGACCTCTTGGGCGTCCATCTTTGTTTCTCGAGCAGCTTGCTGTGAAGCTGCTCACATGAACCGTCCTTCATCAATGCATCAAAGGCCTAGACAGTGAAGCTGTTCTATCATCAGAGATGTAGCAGGTGAACCCCCTGGTGCAGCCTGGGATAACTTAAATTGTTTGATTTTTTTTTAAAGTAATCTTCCCAACTTAGCTGCTATAGGGAGTTTTACATATTTAGGTCTAGGTCCAGTCCTGGTCCAGTGTAAGCTGCCGCAGTCGTTCCTCTGGCTTCCTCGCTAAGTCTTTCCAGAACAGTTATGTCTCTGTTCACTCGCAGTCATGGATGTGACCTAATCTTGAACTCGCCGACGTAGCACATTATGGGTGGTCTGCACCGGCAGTGGATCTGTAAAACACCAAAGCTGTGGTTTTGATGCATCGAAGCCTAATCTTGTCCCAAAGTTTCTGTTTGTCTGGAAATATTACGGGTAAACACTGCCGTTGGCTTACGGTAGTGTGCCTCGTTCCTTGGAACAGGAAGCAGGGTCATTTTGTTACATTTTTGTAGAAACAACAGCAGCAGCGGTTAATTAGCGCTTTATTAGTCATGTCGGTATTGGACCACCCTGAGGGAATTTGCTCGATGATTTCTCGAAAACATCCCGCCGTCCGACTTCCCATGTGCCTCTGAGGTCCAAAGTACTAATAATGTAAAACGTCAAACCGTTAATATAAGCTAACAGAAGGTGCGCCAAATGCCTTAATGTTATTTCTGCAGTATAGCTAAGAGTCAGGGTGATTACCTGTGGGAAAGGTACACTCACCTCTAGCTGGGGTGTATACCTAAAAATCCTGGGCTCCCCCCTTGGGCCTCCCCATTCACTTTTATGTGTACATTTGAAAATTCTAGGCTCCCCTGTAAAGCTCTGGGGCGTCTGAATGTGCCAGAGTATCTATGCTCCCCTGATACCTCAGCCTCCGGTCATCTCACCACCACATTGTATTTTAATTTATTCGTTTGTTTGTTTTTATGTGTACTTTTTACTGAGAAATAAGTCTAACTGTCACTTGTGTACCTGAACCATGACTGAATACTTGAGATGAATTTCCTTTATACACGCTGGAAACATCTGCACATATGAGTCATTTAAAGTTTACATACATTCAGAAGTGTTTGAACCTACAGCAAACTGCTTGGAACTGTGGGTAATTAAGTGTGTGACTTTAGCCAGAGTGAGCGTGAGATGAAATGCGCAAGGAAAGATGAATACCGCACGTTAACTGCCCCCATTATCCTCCCCGGCGACGAGGCGTTCAGCATTTTGCTTCTATTGTGCTGCCTCCTTCAAACCGTGATTAAGACCCGATGTGTGAACCCTACAGATTCTTTCCCTCTTCCTTCTTTGATCCTGACATCACATAGAATGAGCAAACAGCCGAAACAAACCTGAGTAAACCCCACAGAGAGGAGAATGGAGGGGATTGTTCATTGGGAGATGCCAGCCGACCATGGAATTATGGGTAAGTGTGACTCTTTGCCCGCAGATATTTGGGAGGTCGTGTAGAGCTCATCGGAAAATATGTCACAATGTTACCAGCCACAAAGGCACTCAGCATGCCCGGCCTGGCATAAAAACGCATGGGAACACACGTTACCAGGGCTGTAAATTAGGCTGGCAAATAATTTAGATGAAAGGTAAGGACTAACCAGGCGTTAACCGGCTGGCTAGTAAACACGTTACATTTGTTACTGAACTGGCCTGGTAGACTAGTAGCAACTTCTCTCCTTTTCCAGCACTGCAAGTAATACTTGCAAACCTGCCGTCCTGACCTGTCCGGACAGCGGACCCTAACGTCTGTTAACTTAACGCCTCCCCGCCCCGAACCCCAATTCCCCCCCATCTGCAACTTTAGCCATCGGTTCATCCTGATGTTTCCTGTAAAAGCTGTCCACGGCTGTTAAAGCCATCTCTAGATTTTTACAATCCCTCACGGATGTGAGCGATGTTCTTTTTATTCCCGATAGTTTGCACGTTTGTTGAAAGGCGCCGCGCTGTTGAAAGAAAGTCCGACGTGGGTAGAATAACTGCGTCTTAAGGTGAATTAACCCAAACAGACTACGCACTTCCATTCTCTCCACTGTCTGAATGCTGATGCTGCATTGAGTCATCAGGGCTTTGAACCCAAAGAGTTCTGTGCCACCTCAGCTGATCTAGTCCCGCGGCTGAAGAAAACCAATCACTTCAGTGATATTTTGCCCTGTGATACAATACTTAAATATACTTAAATGTATAGTAT